GTGATCCACCCGCCTCGGCCTCCCAAAGTGCTGGGATTACAGGCATGAGCCACTGCGCCCAGCTTAAATGTGATTCTTGATACTGTTTTAAGTATTTGGGATGCAGCTGAACTTTGGCAAAGTCAGTCCACATAAGCCCTGTGGATGTGGCCTCATGTAGACTGTAGTGCAGACAGGCGCTTTTCATCATTCGTGTGACATTCCCACACAGTTGAGGGTATTCATCTCACCAATTCCAAACTGTAAATGTTCTTAAGCAACTCTGAGGTCACCAAACAGTAGTCATTTGACTGTTAATAGGTGCTACTTGCTTGCAAGGATTTGGAGATGTAAACATGAAGAAAATATAGTTATTGCCTGCAAAGAATTAACATTTATCCAGTGAGAGAAACAAACACAGCCCACTCACTAAGTATGGAAAACTGGTTCCGGGAGGAAGCAGAAACGTCCCTAGCTACCAGCACGCATTGCAGATACCCAAATGTTTATTGTTTTCCCAGCGCTTCAGTTCTGCTTTTCCTTCTCAAATGCTGCAGACTCAATTTACATTTTACCTGTGATTGTTGAAAAAAGTCACTAAGATGTGAATACAGAATCGACATTGAGAAGTTGTATAAACTCATCTGTCCAGCAGCACTGTCCTCCTCAGAGTGGTCCTGTTGGGCAGGTGGGCACAGGTGCTGTGATGTCACTCCTGCACAAAACACCCGCTTTGTGGCACTTTCAGATATTCTGTATGTATTTTTAAGAGAGAGACAGGCTCACTCTGTCACCCAGGCCCGAGTGCAGTGGCATGATCATAGTTACTGTAGCAAATTCCTGGCCTGAAGCAATCCTTTTGCCTCAGCCTCACGGATAGCTAGAACCACAAGCAGTAGAGACAGGTTCTCCCTGTGTTATACAGGCTGGGCTTGAACTCCTGGCCTCAAGTGATCCTCTTGCCTTGGCCTCCCAAACACAGGGATTATAGGTGTGAGCCTCCGTGCCTGGCCTTAGGTTTTATTTATCCGTGCCCTATAGCAGTTTGTGTTTGGAAATCGTGATGTGAAGCCATCAGTGTCTGTGCATATCCCTAAACTAATGGTTTAAGCTTTGAAGCATGTGCAAGCAACATGAACAGCTGAACACAGAAAGTAACTCGAAGCAGCCCAGAGACTGTGTCGTCCCTACAGACTTCCTAACCCTGCGTTCAGCAACATCATTCGACCCGAGGCCAGATCCAAACCCTGTGTCTTCTGGCGGGTTCTGAATTTAGAGGACAAGTAAGGTGACAGGTACTGAGAGAAGAGTGAATTAAGTGAAAATCTTCCCTTTGTTAAGGAGCTTTTTAACAAGAGTGTCTTTGCTGGGCAGTGATTGGGATATAACAGATCAGTTCTACTGGACGTGTAGCTTGATGGTGAAATAAGGAGCTTGGGCTAAGGAAAAATCAACACACTGCTTCCTTCCTCAAGAAGGTCTTACTATGAAGAAAAAAATGTCAGTTGGACTAAATTGTGCTTTACACCACTGTTGATTTGCTTTCTGATGCAAGCCCCCGACCTCACAGACCAAGAGGATCCCTGGCCGCCTGTGAATGGCCCGCATTTGAGTAGCACTAACGTTAAGTGATGTGAGTAGGAATTAATTATGGGTGCAGCTACTAGGATTGGGA